AGGAGAATTGGTTGATGAAAAAGAAGTATCAAAGGCAACTTGTAATCGAGGCCAAGAGAACCCCGCCAAGAAAGTTGCTATCTGTAGACTTGTAGTAGTAACTCAAGAGCAAGCAAGCCCAACTCCGCATGATGCACATCCGAGCATGACACTTGGATCATGTGTCCAAAAACCCGCCATCAGAATGTCCCTGCAAAAAGGCAAGGATATTTGAAGGCCAAATCCTTCGGGAAAAAGATTATTTGATAAAGGAGAAAGGAAAGGCATGAAATATGATGTTATCCCCCAAAGATGCCTCCACTAAAAATACATCAAAAAGGGGTCCAAAAGAAGATCCCTACTGACAATATCCTTGATGGTTGATACATCGAGAATCCTTCAGGGTATTCCATCACCAACCAATCCCACCCTCTCGGGAAGAAGCCATCTTCAACCTCAATCCCCTGCGCAAGGAGCTATTCACCCAATGTGTCCAACCGAAGATTCAACCGAGAGGGATCTTCATATGTAAGGCATACAAATCAGCAGCCTGGCCTTCGAGTATATTAGCAATAACATGAAGCATTTACCCATTACATTACAAACGTAGCTTATGAGTTCCACCCACCAGCAAAGAAAAGCATACATTGGTTTCACTTCTCACACAAAATGCATCACTTGGGAATTTAGAGATTCTAAATAAGTTTGTTAATTTTATACCTTTACGCGCACAACAGTAATGATGATGATGGCAATGAGGTGACCAACGAAAAAATCTTCTTTTTCTTGATTTTTTTATTTTCTCTTTTTTGTTTTCTTTTTCTTTTATTTTTCCTTGCTTTTTTTCTTTACTTAAGAGAGAGAAAGAAGAGATAGAATGAGTGACGAGATAAAGAAAGAGAGGGATGAAGAGAAAAAATGCAATTTCTCTCTATTTAGATAGAGAAAGAGGGTTAGTGAGAGAAAACTATTTTTCTTTCTTTGCTTAGAGAGAGAAAGAGAGTGTGAATGTTGGAAAGAGAATGGGAGAGAGGAATATTCTCTTTAATTAGAGAGAGAAAAGGGATAAAGAAGAGAGATAAGGAGAGAAAGAGGTGGTGAGAGAAGATTGAGAGTGTGAGAATGAGATTTTTCATTCTGTTTAGAGAGAGAGAGAGTGAAGGGAGAGAAAGAAAGAAGAAGAAGAAGAAGAAGAAGAAGAAAGAAGCAATAAGAAGAAGACGGTAGTGTGGAGCTAGGGTAGTCGACATATGACAAGACTATAGACTGGCGTGTTATGCGATGGCTATGATCAATGGGTTGGCCGGACTGGGAGCCATAGAAGGTGGCCAAGGTTGGCGGTGGGGTGAAGGCATGCGGGGTGGTCAGGAGTGATGGCCGATAACAGGGTTTCGCAAGAGAGTCGCATGAGTGGAAAGGTTGGCTAGGGCTAGGCCTGCAATCTAACTAAAAAGATGATTTTTTTAAGGGGGGAGGGGCATGGAAGATGTGATTTTAACTTAAGGAGTAGGGTTGGGTTTTTTTTGTACTTTTTATCCTCTTTATTTATTTATTTATTTAAATAATGAAAAAAGATGGTCCTTTTGCTGCAAAAAAAGGATAGTACTTGAAGATTTTAAATATAAATTTAATAATTTTTAATTCCTTTTTTATTTAAATAATAAATTATTAAATTTTAATCAAATTTTAAATTTTCACAATAATAAATATTTCTCTATTTTACTTAAATTAAACATGTCTTTTGTTCACCGGATTTTTATCGCTCTTGTGTCAAATTCTTTCTTGTTTCACACACATGAATTTTTCGATTTTCATCGTGCATAGATTATGGACAATGGGGGTGTTAATCTTAGCTGTTTTTATTTACTCAAAAACACCGGCGCTATCTATTTTGTGAATATAAGTCATTTTAGTCAACGTGTTTTGGACAACTTTTGTGTGACACTGCTCTTTCAGTCCCCGTTTTTACGTGTTTGATCGGTTCGACCTTAGAGCGACTATTAAGGTAATCATCGAGTTTATTTTGCCTCTTCGACCAGTTTACCATGTATTTTGTAGCATGTTTTTGAGTATGAAATGTTTCCCACAATAATCACAATGCAGATTGCTCTCATCTCCCATACGATGATTTTGAAACGTCTTGCAACTAACCTGTGCTTCGAGAACTACTAATACAGATGTTTCTATAGATATGACAATATCCGTATTTTTTCCTTCCAAGCATCACCTATCTGCAGCGTTCCTCCCTTCACACCTCAACAAATACCTTTGCAATTGGAGGGAGAGGATTTCTTCCAACAATACTTTCACAAACTTCATCATACTCAATATTTAATCCTACAAAAGCTTAAAGATGCAACAAACATCAATCATCATGTTGTAATAATTGCAATCCTCAGGTGATTTACATTCATACTTCTTAAATATATCAAGATCTTGCCATATTCTCTTAAGAGAATTGAATATTTTATTACAGAATGCTCATGCTTGCAAATCTCTCCAAATCATAGGTCAACCCATACACTTGAGATTGATTCCCAATATACGAATAGATTGTGAGGCATTGTCTCACAAATCCTTTGTTGTTCAATAGCAAAAGTAGCTTTCACTTATCTCCCCGATTATTGAATTGAATAACAATATCATTACCATAAAATTTTCAGCAACCCAAGTGATATAGATTGGATCGTCTGCATCAAGCATCTTAGTCTCTCTTGAGATGTAGTAGATCTTGTCTATCCCTCTAAGGAACATCCACACTGCTTGAGACCATCACAGAAAATTCTCGTCATTTGATGCTGCTAATCTGGATGAGATAATTCTCATAAGAATGCCCGGTGGGATGAGATCCCAGTTGAGGTAGCAGTGATATCCTAAATGTTCTAAACAGGTTGTCAAACATGGTTTAAGGCACGAGGATGCATGGAAGGCTAACACGAACACAAATGAGAAGGCTGTGATGAACACAGGGATCCTAACCCCACCAGAATAAACATGAGAACCTAGAGATTTGATTTCCAACGGATCGAAAATGATGGAAAGAATGAGGATGCAAGAGGCTGAAACGAATACAATAACATGAACCAAGGATAAGGGAAGCAAGGGACAAGCCAGATATCCTCTTCCAGCTCTAAAATCATAAAGATTAAAGACAAATATAAAAGAAGTCAAAAAATAGAAAATAATAGAATCTTTGTTACTCGTCTTCTGCATAACATATACAAGGATCGATCTACTTACATAGACCTTACAATCGATGCTAGAACAGGAAAAAAAATCTCTTGATAAAGAGAAATAGAAACAAATAACAAAAAGTATGACATGCATCGTGAGCAGTGATAGCGTGGAATTCTGAGGCAATGGAGGAGAAAAAAATAGAATTAATTAATGAAACTGAATATTTTCCAACAATGACCAAAGGAAGAAACAAGAGGAGAAGGATTTTCATTGAAAAGACAATGTAAATGTAACTAGTCAACAACATACAAACCCAAGAACACACTTCTCAAAGCATAATATAAATGTTATTTGTCTTTATAGAAAGGTCTCCTCATTTCTTAAATGTTAACCCATTATGATTAAAAAAGTAGATTGATTCCTTTAATCTATCCAACCAGTCCTGACCAAAGTCAACAACAAATGGTCAATTTTAAATTTATTTAAAAATTCTAAATTATCACCTTTTTATAATTTTTCATTTTTTGAGGAGTTTATAGTAAATAACCAAATGGAGTCAAAGAAGGTGGTAGCTATTAAAGGCGGAAGAACGTTTTGGGTGCAATAATAACAAAAATATCTAAAAATGTAATATTTCTAATAAAAAATATAAAATTGAAAACCCAAAAGCACAATTAAGATTGTATTTGTGAATGGGAAGATTGCATAAGTTTCAATAGTTCAAGTGAAGTTAAATAGCAAAGAGATTAAGGAAATAAGAGGAGATTCCATAATCTATTGAAGAATAAAACAAGCCTTAATTTCTTCATTTAAAACTCATTAGCTAATAGAATTGAGACTGACAGCAATTGATGCAAAGTACGCGTAAAGAAAAGATGAAAAAATAACTCAAAATGTGGGAAGCAAGAGGTAGATAGAGGAGTGAGGAATCACAAGGCTATGAGATGGAGAGAGGAATTAGTCCTCAGAGAGAATAAAAAAGGAAATATTTATTTCATTAGCAACTGGACATAAATAGTTGGTATAAGGCTTATAATAGCGATAATGGTGATCTGTATTTCACCATCAACCATCTTCAATTATAACTTAAGACCAAATTTTTATATTAGTAGTCATGATTTCTTGGAAAATCTAATACTAATAACAATGACAAAATACAAGCTTGTCCACAATGAGAAATGATGATTTTATGACCAACAAAAAATAAAATGGCAAATAAGCACAAGGATATAAGCACGATACACTAAATAGTACTAACCTAACTAATGCACAAAATGACTTATGATTAACTACAAAAGAGGAAGTTTTGCACCAAATCATGTCCGATGTTTGATCCTTCACACAGTTGCGAGAGTTGACATTTCCAAAAGAAAAAGAAAAACAGGGAAAGTGGAAAACAAAAAGGTTAATCACTACATTTATCATTTATTTCCAGCTCTATCACCCCGAGATTACAAAGAAAATCCTGGATTCAATTTCCGTTAGCGTAGAGGGCAAATTGAAGAACCGTCATTTACAACACCTACTCACACACTAATGCTGAATGCTTCTTGCTGTTAAGACCAACAAAGTTCATTGATATTAATGGCCAGATAGTCTGTTATTGTTCATAAAATATGCCTCTTAAAAGAAATTTCTTTACTTAAATTAAGCCCTACTGAAGCATTGTTTAAGTAATAATCCTCACCAAAAATAACAACCTCTCCAATTGAATTGAAAAATGAATAAATATCATATCAGACAAATATCGAAGACATTTGAGTTGTGAGACAAATGATATTTGCTTGGATTTTAAAAAAATGCAAATTTTGACATTGTTAAGAGATACAATCCAGCTAGATTACCTGCATGCTCAAAAAAATTTGCTTGCATTGGCTGCCTGTTTGGATTAATCAGCACATGTGTCTTCCAAAGCTGAAGTACACCATCCCTTGAAACAGTAACAAGCAATCGCAAAGATGGGAGCCATGCAATAGATGTTATTGGATGGGAGCCAGCTTGGGTACTGATTTTTGGCGGTTGAAACACAATATCAGGAACAGATCATTTAGTAAAAGGTAACTCACAGACAGCAACAAAAAATAATATCAAAAAAGTCCTCTAATGCATAAATATAAGAAATTACATACAAACAAATTAAGAACAATAAAAATATCATTTTTCATGTCAATGGATGGTGAAAAAATGTACAAAGGCTGAACGGAGATGCACTACAGGGTAACTAAAGAGGAAACATACTTCAGATATTATATATTCGATAATATTTGCCCTCAAATTAGAAAGTAAGTGTACAAAGAATGCTGTGCCTATCCGGACATTGTTCATGTAGCTTGTTCCAACATCAAAAACAAAAGATGTAACTACATCTCAAATACATCACAGAAAACTTCAAAGAAAGATCTTAGAAAGATTGCTTAGTAAGTTGCAAAAGAAAAAAATATTCTTCTCATCGAAGTAGGAAAAACTATGCATTTTATACTTTATGGCATAAAATGCAGCCAGAATAATTAAGTTTTCAGAAAGTTTCAATTGCAACACCCAGCTTAAGTTTAACTTCACATTTCTTCAAGAATTTATCCATCACAAGCAAGAAAATTGGGCTTATATTAAATGTTAAACTTCCTTTCAAGACCCAAGGAAACATACTACATAGAACTGATACTTACATTCCAATCATATTTGGTCTCTCAGTAGATACATCCCATGCTAGAAGACTACCACTCCTATCACCAACAAATATCCACTCCAAAGTTGGATGGAATGCAAAAGAACCAGCACCAACGAGCTTTGTTGTATTTTCAACTGCACCCAAAAGAAATTTACAAATAAAAATGAATATGGATAAAACCATGCAAAACTATAAACATAGCCTTTATCCAAAACTGATGAAAACAAAACAAAACAAACAACAGAATGCTAATCATACGCTGAAGTGTATAGTGAACAGCATAGGTCTGAATGTTGTAAGCTCGAATCAAGCCATCAGCATAGCTAACATACTAAAACAGGAAAAAGAAAAGATGATTAGCCACTATGCTGAAACAAAATGCTTCTCAGATAAAAAAAGAAGAGGTGCAAAGAGAGGATCAATCACATAAAGGTGAGCATTCTACCAGGACAGGAAGACGTGGATGGCATGCAATGTTGACAATAGGCTTTTTAAGATCAGTCTTTATTCTTGTAGGTGGCCTACCCCCCTCAACCGTACCGACAACTTCAGGTGATCAATAGAATATCCTTAGTTACCGTCCATACTTGATTGTGACAAACAAGACATTTACAGTTAAACAAAAAAAAAACCTGTCACACTCATTCGTCGATGGAAGCCAAAAAACACGACGGGCTGGAGAGGCGTCAAGGCAAGATGAACTTCAGCATCTACTGAAATTTGTTCTGTTCTTTTTTCAGGTGAGTGTAGCACAAGTGTCTGCTCGCAATCAAAATCGCATGCTCGGATTGTGCAATCCTATAAGAGGTTAAAGTTAATTTACCATTGATAAACAAATGTCAGAATCAATTATTCAGCTATGAAATTAATTTCTAATAAAAAAGACGATCAATATGGGAAAAAAAAAAAGAAAAAGACATGAAGCAATTTATTGAAAAAAAAATTAAATAGGTATTGACTGAGTTATGCGGCAATAAGATTAAGGTTCTAATAATAGAAAAAGTAAAATTTAAAAACCCATTAAGACTCAGTAAGGTGTGGACAACATTAAGAAATCAAACAACAACCAGGTGTCAATCGCTCATTATTTAGACAGACCAACTAGGAAAGTTGTTCTGGAGGAAATCAAACCTTTTACTTGAAACTTCTCAGACCATCATTGGCATGTTTGAAACTTCGAAAAGTTTAAACAAACGGCTAAAATAAAAAAATCACCATCCACCACACCCATTTACATCCAATTTCAACAATGGCCTGTATCAAACTTGAAAAACTTTACAAATGCTGCTAAAATGGAAATTCTCAACTTACAATACCAAATTATCACCCACTAATTCAAAGATATAAGACTAAAAACAAGTACTTTTAATGCTTAAATATTAAAAATAAAAAATAAAAAACAAAGCAATCTGAGAAGGGGAAACCCCCTTCCATAAACATAAGCAAAATAATTGTAACAATGGATCCATAACTTCTACCAGTAACGAAACAGAAAATAGTTGAGAGGTCCAATATGCTATTTGATATACAAAGTTAAAAGTAAATTTGTGTTATGGGCAGACCTCAAGGATAGAAATAACAGTGTGTCCACTAGTTGGGCTATACGCCATTCGAACAACACGAGCGCCAATGTCAATTGAAGAAATCTTGCTTCCAGTGAGTGCATCAAACTCTGCAATTACATAGTTAACAATGTTAGCAAGTATCAAAACCCAAGATGTCATTGACACGTTACCACAAACTAAATTGTTCAGATTCAAAATACATTATGATAAAAAAAAAATCAAAACATTCACCCCAACATAAAAATAAATTTATTCTACCCTAATATGATGTTAATGCCATGTGCATAAGTAAGAGCATGAAAATCTAAATAAATGATAACAAAAAAAATATATCATCTAGAAAAAAATGGTCACTCAATTCAACTTAGCTTCTTCAATAAAAAAAAAACTCTACATACCCGCAAACCATATAACAATACACACATAATAAGACGAGCACACAGAGATATTTTATGAATTAAAAATAGCTACAGCCCAAAAGTTTATCTCCTATACCTAGCTCTACAACTAATCTTTTGTGTTCTCTTGATTAAGGTATGCATGAGGCTTATGGAACCAACAGAAAGTATCTACCATCTAGGACCAAAGAATTAGGTTTTATGGAATGGATAGAGGGACAATGGTCTCCTCACTATTTTCTAAGCCTAAACAGCAAGTAAGCATGTTCCTTTTAGCAAAACAGCAGCTAAATCCAACCCCCACAATTAAAGATATAGTGGCACACATTCAATAGACACTATACCAATAAAAGATAAAGGTCAGAACTTGGAGGCGTTAAGGCTATTGCAGATTGAATTCCTGTAATTGTGGGGGTTGGAAATGATTGCTACAGTGCTTGCATGAGAAGACGAGAAGGAAAAATCAAGTTGGTATTTTGAGAAAATTTTGTAAGTGTAAATTAAAATTTCATTCAATCAATAAATGATTTCATATTAGAACTTGATCTTTATTTATACAGATCAAAGAAATACCCAGAATTCCATTCAAATTCAAAAGAATCTAGAAAATAGAAACTAACCATTAATAATAGCCAACTCCATCCCAGTTTCCCTCTTTAAAAAGTGGCCTTAGGATAAGGGAAGGAATTTTTTGGAGGGAATTTAAATTAGTTTCTTGCATTATCTCTAACTAATTTCCTCTCTCCTCTCTCCTAGATGCCATCCTTTTGAAAGTTAAAATTGCAATCAAGTCTTCGCCTAATTTATATTTGCAAATCAATATTTTCAAGGAAATCATGGAAATCATGCAAATATTTTTTTAGAGCATCCTAGAACATGACACCCTATTCAAATCATTTGCAGGAGAAAATGAGGGATATTTTTCTTCTTTTGTCTCTTGGACCTATTCTTCCTTTTCTTTCTCTTACAACCATTGGCTTTAAAGTAGGCAAATATGGTTCATTCTCTTTCATTTTATGCAAAACTAACAATTGAGATCATATTTCTTATGCTTTTTATCAAGAAGAGAGCTCTTGATCCCTTATTAGGATCCTTTACTTTGGTACTCTGCTTTCATCTTCTGTAACAGGTCCAAACAATAAACCAAGTCTCACTCTAAACCCCCCCCCCCCCCTCCTCTCCGTCTTTTTAAGCACAATGTTTTGTTATGTTTCTAAACTTGTTTTCTTACGTTTTTTGTGCAGGAGATTAACTTGCTATATTTCTAAACTTGTGCGTGTATGCTTGTGAAAAATTTCATCCTACAATGATGCAGTGCTCCGCTCTTTGTTTGAACAAAAATGTTGTTGAAACGGCGTTGAGCTATTCTGTCTTCAATGCAGCGACCTTTTCTAGAGAAGATCATTATCACATGAATACTACATATTATTATATGGCATACATTTAGGAGTATAACTTTATAGAGATCCCTAAAGAAAGCAACTGAATAATACATTGCATAGCGAAAGGATAAAATAAAAAATAAAAAATAAAATTGCATAGTGAAAGAACAAAAATGCTCTTTTAAAGCCAACCCAAAGAATAATATTTTGGATGACTAGAAGAGACTGGACCCTGACACTCAAAAAGAGATATAAATTAATGTTATTTTCACCAACTGTATCAAAAAAATAGCATCAGCAATGGTAAATTTAACCTGAAGCACAAGATGGAAAAATTCTTCCTTAGCTTCCTCACTACCTTATGCATTCAACATCAAGGATGATATAGGAATTATCATTTTCACTCCTACTCCAATTACTTCTATAATAGTTAGAATATTCCTTTTTCTCATCTTCCCATTTGGCCTCTTCTTTGTATGCAAATTCCACCAATCTTCGAGTATGTAACCTAGCTTCTTCTCTAATCTAACCTTCAATATTATCCTTTTTCATAGTTACAAGGTGATCTTTTTGTCCACTGCAAAGAATCTTGTTTGTTTCCTCAAGTATACGGCCTTTTTACAAGCTTCAAGTATATTAACAACCAGAAAAAGATTCCATCTGCAAAGGCTTTCATAAAGACCCTACTACATGTTTTATGAATACAAATTTTTCATTGAACAAAATTTTTAAAATGATTGCCAAACTTCTAAATTACATCGTGTATTCTAGTTTACCCGTCATCCTGCTTCAAATAATAGCATCAAATCCACTTTCTACCTAGTGTTCAATGATATAAAATTTAGCTTTTAGCAATCTTTTGAACTATGATCATATTAGGATTGACATAACATAGTATCTTATATTATAAATTTCAGTATGTGAGGACCAGTTTAAATACAACAACAACAACAACATCAAGCCTTTATCCCACTACGTGAGGTCGGCTACATGAATTCTTTTTCTCCATTGTGTCCTATTAAAAGTCAAATTCTCGTTTAAATCTAATAAAGAAAGGTCATTCTTAATATTTTCTAACCAAGTCTTTTTAGGTCTACCCCTACCTTTCTTAACATAAGTCAAATTTAATACCTCTACTCTCCTAAACGGGTCATCGCAAGGCCGCCGTTTTATGTGAACAAACCATCTAAGGCGACTCTCTCTAATCTTATATTCTAGTGGAGCTACTCCAACCTTTTCACGTTATATGCTCATTTCGTATCATATCTCTAAGGGTAAAGCCACTCATCCACCTGAGCATCCTCATCTCTGCCACACTTAACTTAGTATTATGCTTCTCTTTTAATGGCCAACATTCAGCACCATAAAAGCATTGCAGGCCTCACTACCATCTTATAGATTTTCTCTTAAGTTTGAGGGGTACCAATTTCTATCACATAACAAGCCCGATTGCATTCTCCACTTGAACCATCCAACTTGAATTCTGCTGATAATATCCCATTATTCTCACCATCACTCTGAACAATAGATCAAATATCTAAAATGTGTATTCTTATTAATGACTTGATCGCCCAAAGTCATAATCCCTCACTAGGTCTTTACTACTAAAATTAGACTCCCATATATTCTGTTTTAGATCTACTCAAGGAAAATCTTTAGACTCTAAGGTTGACCTCTATAATTCAAGTTTCACCTTCAACTCCCTCTCTAGTCTTATCAACAAGAAGAATATATATCAGCAAAAAACATACACAAGGTACATCCTATTGCCAAATGTCTAGTGAGAACATCATGACTAAAGCAAAAAAGATATGGGCCTTAAGGCTGATCCTTGATGTACCAAACCGAAATAGGAAAATACTTGGTCAATCCACCTTGTGTTTGAACACAAGTAATAGCTCATGCATACATATCTTTAATTATATTTGAATATAAAGCATTATTGACTCATTTGTTTCAAGAACTCTCCAAAGCACTCTCTTGGAAGTTTGGACATTTTATCATATATTTTTTCTAAATCAATAAATATCATATGTAGAATCCTCCTTATTTTCTCTATAATTTCTCTCAATCAACCTCTTAAATAATATATGACTTCCATAGTCGACCTACCCGACATGAATCTCAAATTGATTTTGAAAAACATTAGTATCACGCCGCAACTATGCTCCATAACTCACTCCTATAGTTTTAAAAGTATGACACATTAACTTAATTACCTCTATAATTCGTACAATCTTGTTGCATCACTTTGTCGTTAAACATAAGAATTAAACACACTCATTCTCCACCATGCTGCATCTCTTAGTCTTCCAAAATAGTATTAAAAAAGTTTAGTAAGCCATGAAATCTCCTTCATCTCTAAGCATTTGCACCCTCTATTGGATACATCAAGTCTCAACGCTTTTCCCCCCTCATTTTCTTTAAAAGCGCTCTCTAACTTCAGTTTTTACTTAATACGGCCGATAAAAACAGAAATCTTATTTTCATTTAGGTACTAAGGTCCCTATAGTCAATCTTATTTTCATAATCTTCATTAAAAGTTTAGTAAAATATTTCATCAACCTTTGTTGAATATCATCTTCTAAGAAAAGTATTTTTGATCTTAACCCTTAACACACTTCACTGGAACTAAATCCTTATTAATCCTATCTCTTTGTTTAGGCAAACTCTATACATATATCTTTATCCCTCTTAGTATTAATCTATTATATAAATCACTAAGATAATGTCTTTGCATCGCATATTGTTTCTTAGCATCCTTAACGAGCCACTTTATATATTTCTCATTATTTCAAAATTTTAAAATTAACCAATTTTTATAACAAAAATTTTAATTTTTTAATCTTTTTTGCCAATTTGGATTCCCCCCCAACATATTTTTACTATTAGGAGCTTTTCCCTTAATACTTCAAGACATCTTTTGCAATATTTTTATATCACTAGCCACTTTTTTCCACATAACACTAGCATTCTCATGCACAGACAAAATCTTAAGATCTAAAATTTATTCTCAAAAATATTTTTGTTCATTATTTTTAAATGCTCCCATCTAATCCTAGAAAATTGTTTTATTTTATTTTTTATTATATGCTCCTTTATCTTAAAGTCCAAAACTAATAATCATTGTTGGGTACATAAATTTTCACTCGGAATAACTTACAATCTTTGCAACTAATTATTTAAATTTCTAATAAGAAAATATCAATCTAGGTTGTAACTATATCAATTTTATAAGTGATGAGATGCTTATTCCTTTTCTTAAATAAAATATTAGTAATTGAAAATCATAAGCTAAACAAAAATCCAATACGGTCTTTCCACCTT